ATTCCTGCCGCAGATGGTACCGTGGGCCCGTTTCCAGGATCTTTGTCACACTTTATCATCAGCAGCATGCGTTTCCGCATTGTTCTTCCTGGAAGTCTGCTCGCTGATCCTTGCCAATTTGCCAAGAGGTGGGACTATTTTGTGGGTTCCGTGATTTTTCCCCTCTGGATTTCTCTGGTATGTTTGTTGGGTTTTGTTTGTTTATTTGTTTGCTTGTTTGGGGCAGGAGAGTGGCCTGTCTTCTGAGCGAGTCTTTGCAAGATTATCCTTTCCCAGGTCACTTCTTAAGCCTTATATTATAATCACAAGAAATATATCCCACATACATACACACACCCTATATAACTTGAGGGTATAACGCAAATGAAACAGGTCAGACGGAGAAAGACAAATACCATACGATTTCATTCATAGGTGGAATATGTTAAAAAAAAATGAACACACCAAACAAAACTCAAAGTTGCAGACAAAAGATGGGTGGTTCTCAGAGGGGAAGGAGGTAGCGGGAGGGCAGAATGGGTAAATGGGGTCAACTGTATGATGGCAGAGGGAAGCGGCCTCTGGTGGTGAGTTTGCTGTAGTGCATGCACATGTCGCATTACAATGCTGTATATCTGAAACTCCTATAACGTTATGAATCGATGCTACCTCAATTAAAGAAGAGAGAGAGAGAACAGACGAGTGCCCGGTGAGAGCACTGTATGGCACACTTTGCCACAACCGTTTGCTGAGCACAGGAATAGGCACTGCGCTTGTCAACACACAACGGTGAACAAAACAGACAATTCCTGACTGTACAGATCTAATATGTAAATCGTCTACGGAAAGAGACAAGAGATCACAAGTACAGCCATATAAATAAATATATCCGTAAAACTTGTGGTGCTATATAGGAAAAAGCGAAAGTAGCTACGAATTCACATGAGAGAGATTCTCACTTTCTTTTCTTTTTCCTCCCTAGTACCCCCCCCCGCTGGACCACTCCCCCCTGGCTCTATACATAATAATTACCATGTTATTGACTATATTCCCTATGCTGCACTCTGTAGGAGATGAGATTTTTAAGAGTCTTGGTTTTAGCCCGAAGTGGCCATGACTCACTCAGGTTCAGTCACTTAAACACTTGCACCACTGTCCTGCCTATCTTACAGACGTATTCATAAGCAAATGACCTGCTTTCTGTCGAGTGTGTTCTGTAACCTGTGTTTTAAATCTCATTCTTTAAAGTAAATTCCAATAATAAACCCTGGACCCCTTCCTGCAGCTTCATGGTCTCTAAGGCATCGGGACAGGTCTGAAAATGACTTTACCCTCTCGACGTCAAATTGAGTAACTTCTCCTCTTCAGTTCCTCACCCTTCCTTCCCAAGTCCATCCCCACTCTCTACTCTCTTTTCCCATTCCCTTTCAACGGCCATATCTTCCACGTGGATAGAAAACGTGTTCATCCCAACTCTGACACAAGTATCGCAGAGGAATGGGCTCAGGTTCTAATAAGGGAACAGTCATCCCTACCTGCTCTTGTGGCCAGATGATGCCCGTGTTCAAATTACGCCACCTGTCCACCGGCACCTGAAGCTCAAATGGGTTCCTCTGGTTTGTATGAAAAAATGATACCATAAACCTGTAGCAGCCCAAAGAATAGGGAGGGTCAAGACACTGGGAGACGACGGCAGAGCATCCTGTAGCTGTGAATAAATCTGGACATAAACTCAGAGACGCGAAGGGCCGCCAGGGGTCTGTGTGCAGCATGTTTTCCAAGTGGTATCTGCTTGGATGCTTTGAGTCGCAGGGAACTCACTGCCGTCAGAGGCAAGCCGGTCGGTCTTCGGGTAGCTCTAGTTTTAAAGAGACTTGCTGTCTGATTAACTGGTAATATGTCTCTTTTGTGATGTCTCTTTTTAATCTCAGTCTGGGGCCATGTAGAATCATGATTCATTTCATCCTATGGAACTTCACGTGATTGAAGGCTATTTATTGCCTTAGTTACAATTAGGATTACTTAATTAACATTTCTTACATGCCAGCTATGATCCTAGGCACTGAACTTGCATTATCTAATTTAATTATGATAAGTATCTGAGGAGAGACAGGTGCTCCTTTTATTTCCATTTTAGAATTGACAAAACTGAGACTTAGAGGCATGAAATAGAGACATTAGATCCACGTGGCTAGGTAACTCCAGATTTACTCGTTCTACTTAACCCTCCACGATGCAAGTTAGGGGGAAATACTGATAGAAAGACACACTCCCAGGGGTCCTACTTGTTGGAAACATAGTGGGGTGAAACAATGGCTTCTCCCTTGCAGACTGGCCTGAGTTCTGTCCCGTTCCAGGCTTGGGAGGCTGCGGCAATGCCTGTTGGAGCTTGGCTCCCAACCGTCCCGCAGACAGCACAGCGGGTACAAGAGTGCCCTCTGGAGTCTGAATCAAGGCTCTACTTCTCACTTCCGAACTCTGAGACCTTAAGCAGTTTACTTGAGTTCTTGGTGCCCAAACTTTCATGATTTGTGAAATAGATAAATAACAGTATTTACTTTAGATGCTAGGCTTGTGGAGGGCACCAATTTTTAAATTTTATTTAAAATTACAGTGGACATAATATTATATTAGTTTCGGGTATCCATCGTAGTGGTGAGACATTTCTATACCTCACGAAGTGATCACCATCTGTCACCATACATACTATGGCAATATTATTGACTCTATTCCCTATGCTATACATTACGTCCCCATGATTTATTTTATAACTGACAGTTTATACTTCTTAGCCCCTTCACCTTTTTTCCTCAACCCCTAACTCCCTCCCATCTGGCAACCATCAGTTTATTCTCTGTATCTATGGGTTTGTTTCTGTTTTCTTTTGTTTGCCTCTTAGTTCAGTTTTATAACCAAAGAAACCCACGAATACCCTCCCCCAACCAACAGCCACATGTACACAGAGATTCTGGGGGCTGAATTTTGTGGGGTCATAGAATTTTTTGACTCCTTCCTTTCCCCTTACTTGCTAAATGCATCTGGACTCCCATATCCTAGATATTCCCCCAAGATCACCTTCAAGGACTCAGGCAGACTTCTTCAGAGCCTTCTCCTGGACCTACAGCATCTGGAGGCTGTGGACAGTGAGGCATTGTGGCTGGAGCCTTAACCTGGAGGAGACCCAGGAAGAGCAAGGAACACATTGGGTGTCTGCTATTTTAAGAACTAGAAGTGATAGTCGATGTATAGCTACAGGCCATAATTGTTCAAGATATTTACTTGCCTCTCAGTGGCTTCCAGTCTGAAGACGGGAGCTAGGGTGAATTTTACCTTTTTTTCTTTTTTTTTTTTAAGTCTGTGAACTATCTTTTTTTTTTTAATTGAAATATATTTGACAGATACCATTGTGTAAGTCTGAATGTATAACATGTGGATGTGATCCACTTCTATACTGCAATATGATTGCCATTGCACCGTTAGTTAGCAGCTCTATCAAGTCACAAAGCTACCATGTCTTTCTTGTGGTGGAAATGATGAAGAGCTAGTCTTTTAGCAAGTTTGATGTGAGTCTGAGGCTGAAGTCAGGTGTATATAATTTGCCGGAAAGCAGGACACCCTCAGGTAAATTTGTTCGGGGGAGCGGCCCCTGGGACATGGGGGGAGGGGTAAGGCTGGCTCTTACTGAAGTAACTGATATAAAAATCGATCAGTCTTGTTTTCCCTTTGGCATCATGTTCAAAGTAGCAACTGAGCAGCAGGAAAGATGATTTATTTTCATGTTGGCATAAATTTGTATTATGCAGATGTATTATAATTTAATCCATTTCTAATTGTTAGCCATATAAGAATTTTTACCCAAATTTTTCATTAAGATAAAGAGTACTACGATGAACCGCCATGGAATTTATAGATTGAAGGCTATCTGTAATAAACAATAGAGGGTACAGTCTCACCTAGATTAGCTCCATCAAATGATTCACTATCATACTTCACCTCAGAAGTCTCGCTGTAGAGACTCCTAAGGAATCAGAATCATAGGCTATTAGGGTCTCTGGTATTCACGTGCCTTGATGCAAAACTTGACTGCTTCCTCCAGCTGTGCAGTCCTGGCTGAGTTCACGAATCTCCTTGTGCCTCAGTTTTCTCACCTGTAAAATGGGGCTCATGATGCTGATTCATTCATTTGTTGAAAGGATTAAAGAAACCAATACAGGTAAGCCTCTTGGGACAGTGCCTGGTGCATAGTAGAAACTCAGTAAATTTTTGCTGCTACTATTATCCTGTATAGTATTACATTTTCATTGGCCAATGCAACACTCAGAGACTTAACAAAAGTCAGCTAAAAAAGTTAATAAGATGATACCAGCCTCTAAGGTATGCTGACTGCAACGTCATAGAAAGAAAAAAGCCGGGTAACTTCTATTAAGTATTATGCAGCAGGCAAGGTACAGAGGATGGTGACATAAACAGCGAGCTGTGACATGCTCTTGCAGGATCCCCTACCACGAAGCTCTGCTACAAGGACTGGACACGCCCTGGTCCGAGCAGGTTCTCTCTTGCAGGCAGATGTGAACGGTCCCCTACCGCAAATGCCACTCTAAACGTTTCGAATGTGAAGTTTGAATGATTTCTTGAATGGTTTCTTTTAAATGGATTCTCAGACACGGAAACGCCGAGTTAAAGGGGAAATGCGAACAACGTCCTGGTTTTCCTACAGAGAGCCGGACGCCCTTTGCAGGGACTGCCCAGTGGACGAGTGT